TCTATGTCATTTCTAATAAATGAGTTTTTGATACCACCAGCTGAAACCAGCTGTGTAGCAGATGCTCTGCATTACTTGCCTAGTGTATAGGTTGCATGGTCTCCATTGACATATGGAGTCAGCTCTGCACTTGTTTGAGCAAATAGTCAGCTGTCAGCTAATGGATCCATTAGCAAACTTTCCACAGAATATCATGTCTTCATCATTGCATGAAATTTTAATAACTTTAAATCATGACTTTATTTGAAAGTTGAGAGGACCTTTTTGTAAGACATTTGTTTTGCATTTGAGAAGTGAAGGCACTTCTTTTTTTGAAAGAATTTTTTTTTTTTTTTGCTAACACTGAGAAGTGAAGTTAGAGTAGCAGTGGAAACCTTAAATTTTTTTTTTTCATCCTTTTATTAGCAATTTGTGAACCTCAAATGAAATTATTTTTTATGTTATGTAGAGTGGGGGGTGTTTTTTAGTTGTTTTTGTTTTAGGCAGGACGATATTTGCAGTCTTGCATTATCCTTCTAGAAAGAGATTTGACTTGCTTGATCTTCTAACTTGACTCCTTCTTCAAAGTGAAAAATGACTTACATGCTCTTTTTGGTTGTATGAACAATTTCAGTAATCAAAAGGTATGGAAATAAGAAATGCTGCAACCCATCCTTTCCCTTAGTGATTTTTCTTTTGCCCTATCTCTTGAATTTAGGTCTTGCAAGGTTTTGGTATAAGGTTTGGTCTAGAGGTTGAAAAGATAACAACTCCCTAGAGCATCTTTCCCTTTGTCGCATCAGAACAGCTATGTGTGGCTGTTGTTCCTGGCCTTTATATCATGGTGAAGTCTCCAGAAGGCACCTGGGGCGTCATAACAGCAGTGTAAGGTCAGAAGAGTACCTCCAGTTGGCCCCAAGAGGAAACTCCTCATTTTTCTTGTTGTTTTTGTGTTTTCTAGCGAATAGGTTTTGTTATCAAATCCATTGCAGGAAGTGAAACAGATTTTTGAGTCTCTCCTAGGTTTTGGTCTTTGAGGGTTCGGAGGCTAACATCTAGCCCCCAAAATCTTGAGATTTAGAGAATCGGGGGGAAGATGAATATGGTGTTTAGAGACACTTGCAGGCTGCTTTGCTCTGAGGCAGCTAGCTGTAAAGGAGTGTCAGTTTATCCACCTGAGTTAAAATCACCTCTTTCAATGAAAGCTCTAGCATCTTCTTTCACACCATTTAGAGACCTTTCTTGAAGAACTTGCAAGAACCTTGTGTCACAAGGAACCAATGAGTAGACAAACTTGTGTAACTGTCAACTGGAAAGAGCAAAGATGCACTGTATGAATGAGTGATTCTCTCATGACACTCACCTCTCCGGTCTGGAGGGATGAGGCTGCAGGCACCTTGTGGGAACCGTTTGTCAGTATCCTAGGATATGATGGCTCTTGAGGAAAAACTCGGTTTCCTTGGGCTGGTGGGTCATCCTTCTGAAAGGAAAGCAGAAAAAAAAAACCCAAAAAACCAAAGACTCTAGTGGCCACACTTACCAATTGTTCTTGAACAAAGCCCAAGTCACTAAAATCTCATTTGATTACTATCTCCTGGAGTACTCTCATTCTTCTATTGATTTTTGTGGGCATCCTGCTAACCTTCATCTGTCCTTCCAGTAATCGTTTAGCTTCTATTTCTTCTGGAAAACATTCTAACATAGGATTATTTTCATCTAGAAAGCAGAACAAGGCATTTGTGGTTTGGTCCGTGCCTTTCTGAACATGGTTTCCTGATACACCTCCAGCAAGCTGACCCCTAACTTCCCTAACAAATGCGTGGACACGCTGATCAGAACCAAAAGGAGAATATTTGTTTCAAAGAAAGAACAAGCTGGTGAAATTACTAAAGTAGTTTGCTTCAGACACCAGCCTGGTCTAAAATAATGATTAACTTATGGGAAATCAGTGGCTTGTGAATAACGTACCTTGGGCCAGTGCTTCTTTGATATGGACTTCTACAGAGGAAACAGGAACTTCTCGTCTGTATTTCTAATAAGAGTTCAGGGCTTCAGAAAGAAAGCCATGAATTGTAAGACAGAAATGTATTCCTTAATATTTTGATGCTGGACAGACAAAGGGTGATAAAAATAGTTGTAAAGTTATTTCAGTTACATACATTTTTTATAACAAATGCAGTACCAGAATAAGCAAATCCAACATTGCATACCAGCTGCTTATGGATTTTTTTTTCTTTATCCAGTAATTTATTACCAGACTAAACAGTCATAAGTCATTGGGCTTTCCCCCCTCATAGGGTGGGCAATTATTTTTCCCTTCCCTACTACTCACTCTTGGTTTATGTTTTTTCCTCCCCTCATTCCTCTAATTCCCCCTCATAAATACATACACAGTATTTCATAGTAATTTCCAATTATGTTTTTGACTTTTAAGGAGTTTGCTTCCTTAATTTTGTTTTGTGGGTATAGGGTTGTAGAAGTAGAGCTTTTACATTTATATCTGCTTATTTCTGAATGTCTTTGTTTTGAAGTGCTGATTGAATCTGTTGTTAATCTCTTTAACCCCTGAAAGAAGATTAACAGTGAAGTGGCTGGGGAGGGGAGAACAAAGGAGAGGCTGACTCTATTTCTCTAGGTTTCAATAAAGGCTTTTCTTTGTGGCACTCAAGTATACCAATGGTAAGCACGTATGGGTGATAGCAGTTATAATTGCAGTACAGGGTAGCATTGTCACCGGCCATTTGGTCAAATCAGCCATACCGCGGGCAGAATCCAGCAGTTTTACCAGACTTGGTAAATTGTTTTCCATCCTTGGGTTTTTTGTATTGGTTTGGTTTGTTTTTGTTTTTTTTTAAATCTTGAAGTCTCATCAGCCTGTTACAAGTTAACAAAATGCCAGAAGTAAGGGAGGGAAAATATTTGTGATGAACATTTAATCGTACAAATTCCATACATTTCCCTTTTAATGTACTTCATTAACATAAGTACTATGGTGGGCTTGTAGACAGTATGATGCTTAACTTTCAACCAATGGCTGAGAAACGGTACTATTAGCAAACACATTTTCACAAAGGCGATTGGACTGGTATTCAGTGCTAGCAGAAAACTTTGATTGCAGTTTTTTGAAGAGAATCAAAGAAATAGCCCTCAAAGTAAGGCAAGAATTCACACGGGGTAGCCACATGGCCCAAAAAAGTGGTTCAGATTACAGCGTCTGCTGTAAAAGGATGTGATTGGGTGTTTGATTGACATTTCTCATGAATTAACGACTGGCTTTTCTGCTGTAGATTGTTCAGATTTCTTTTGTAAGGTATTTAGACACATTACATTCTTCATGCGTATATTTGAATGTTTGTCTGTTAATGTCTGTGCACAATTGATAAGCTGGCAATAATAGTATCAGAAATAAAAAAAAAATAATGGATAAGGTGTGCTTTTATGATGATTCATTATTCCATGTAAAACTCTTAGACAAGATTTGTAACAATGCAGTTATTTGACTTTGTTGCTGCTTGTTTCTGCACCTGTAATTGTATTACATTACAGCATTAGGGGCTGAAATGATAATGCTAATATTCTTAATTTTATGAGCAGAAAATTTCATATGGTGTTTTACCAGCTACGGACCTTCTTTCCAGGAACTCTGATTCACAGTTCTTGATGCAATTACCATATCTTTACTATTATTATGGTTAGTTATACAAAGGCAATTATTGTTTCTTGGTGTGACTATATTAAGGCAGTATTTCTTTAGTAAGATATACACTGTTCCATATTTCTGTGTCTAATAGTTAACACGGTAAGAGGGAATTGAAAAGGAAAAAAACAGTTAGACACACAATGGGAAACAGTTTCCCTAATTGCTAGTTAGAGACCATGAAAGTGGTATTGTAGTTATCAAAAGATGTATTTTAATGCTTTCAGACTGCTGCTGTTTGGGGGCTTTTTGGGTTTTTTAACTGATTCAGTGGAGAATGTGGAGCAGTTAATTTCTTATTTTTCTGGAAGTCTCTCCTTTTAAAGTTGAAGTAGATTGTTAACTTTTTTTTCCCCGCCGAGAATATAGAATACTGTTTTATTTCTGATGTGTTTCCCAGTTGGAGTAGGACAGAAAATGCCTACTGTCAGTTTTCACCACCTGATAAATGGCAGGCGGTGATTTCTTAAGACTCAGTAATTTTAATTGTTGGCGACAGGTCTCCTCTCTGATTACCGGCAGGTAATAGGTGTCCCCCTAGTAAACAGCTCTGGCACAGCCTGCCTGTAGTGGGAGCTGGTGGCAATCTTGGGCCGTCAGGGCTATAAACTGTCACCTGTCCAGGCACAGTGCAGTTTCTAAACTACTACGGATGTTGTAATTGCTATTGCAAATTTTTTTTCTAATTCTAGTTAGACTCTAGAGCTTAAACCTATCCTGTGGCCACGAATATCCCGGGTTTGTTTGCGAGTTGTATTTTGGGGGCTGGCAGTGGATGAAAGCTTCTCTACATCTTTAAAGATATTAGTTGTAATGCCACCAGCAGGTCAGGACTTTATTGCACAGGTGCTTAAAAAAGAAAGCAGGGAATGCCCTCCTTGTTTTCTTTGTGTAATTAGTTTGGATTTGCTTCGTATAATTGACTCAGGATTTGTCACCTCTGTTTCCCTTTCCACCTTGCTGTAGAAGTCTTCAGTGTCTTTTCCTCATCTGTTGCCTAACTCTTTTTTTTTTTTTTTTAACCATTTACAGTCTGCCCAGGAACTGGCATGAAGAATAACCCAATGTGCTGTTAGTGTGTAATGTTTTAAGGGAAAAAAATTAGGTTTTCTCTAGTCTGGGAATGGTTTAGATTTTGTTCCAGAACACTTCTTTATTGGTGTTTAATGTCTGCACGTGGTAGCAATTGCTGGGGGTTGTTTGGGGTTTTTTAAATATTAATAAATTGGCATTTTTGGTAACTTCTTGGGAATCTTCTGTGTTAACTATCAAAAGGCACAATATGAAGATGAACTCATTTTTTTTCCTCTCGTTCTCACAGAAGTAGCCATGGGGTGCATTAAAAGCAAAGAAGATAAAGGTCCAGCCATGAAATACAGAACTGATAATACTCCAGAACCTGTTATTTCCCATGTCAGTCATTACGGATCAGATTCCAGCCAAGCAACACAGTCACCGTCAATAAAGGGATCAGCAGTTAATTTTAATAGTCATTCCATGACTCCTTTTGGAGGGCCCTCTGGAATGACACCCTTTGGAGGAGCATCATCTTCATTTTCAGCTGTGCCAAGTCCATATCCTAGTACTTTAACAGGTGAGTGTTACATAAAATTATTACACTATTTTTATTTTTATAGCTTGAGAGTCGTATTCAAAATAGTACAATGATCCCTTGCCACACAGAAATAAATTGCAAATTTAAAATAAATTGCTTTTTAGGGATTTCTGATTTTCAATATCTTTACTGTTCATATTATAATTCAGCTCATATTCACTAGTGACCGGGGCTTGGGCTTGGGTCTTTTGGTTTTGGGGGAGACAGTTAGGCTTACAGCACACACAAATTTAAGATTTATTAAAGGCGCTGATGGGAATAGTTAATAAAATTGTGTTGGAAGTTCTAAGCTGTTGAAGGGATGCACATGGGATTATGGTTTTGAACTTTTGGAGAGAGGTGCAGAAGAAAAACACTTCAAATTCAGGGAATTGGTATTTAAAACTGATTTTCAAACTTGATTAACTGTTACTTGTATTAATGCAACATTGAATCTGTTTGTTGTGGTATATGCTGTGTAAATTACTATATGAACAGTGTACGTGAAATGAAAGAGCAGAGTTCTTATTCTGGTGGCCATATTAAAACCAAAGTTGAAAATATACAAATAGAATTTACAAGGCACAGAGACCTTCTTGGCTGAGATATGAAGTCTCTGAAGATACAGCATTTAAAAGAACATGCACCTTTATATCAAAATCTTAAAACTGCATTACAAAAACATTGATTTTGTGCACATGGCTAATTTCAGTAGTTTTGTTGGATATTTTTGAGAGGAAGCTGTAATTTATTCTTTTTTTGAGAGAGAGAAGGAAGAATAATTTATTCTAGAAGCTTTGCACAGACACTTCACAAAACATGCTAAATAATTCCTTATTAGTGTATTTCTAGTTTTTCCACAAACCTCTAGTGTTAGCACAATTACAGTGCTTAAATGTTTGCTTCATTACAGTGGCATTTAAAATCTTTTAAACACAAGAAATTTGAGATCTATGAAAACCCACTGTGGCCTTGACATTAAGCAATTCAAGAAACCAAATATGAATTGTCAGGTAATGATCACGTCGTATTCCCCTTTTGAGAAGTCATTAAAAACCAAATAATTAAAATAAGCATCTGTCCTGTCTCAAAATTTTTGAGTCAGCTCTGAATCCCTGTTTTGGAATAACATATTTAGAAATGAAATAAGGACAGCATTTCTTTTTATTCCTTAGCTCCACTAAGGAAAGTTTATCATGCTTAAAGAAATCTGCATCTCCTCCAAGAACCTCTATATATTTCTTCTTACTAGATCTGGTTCTTTGTTCATGTGAGAATATCCAGGACTGCATGCTGTCACTCCTGGGTATTACCAGACATCAGGGATGTAGCCCCTCCCCAGACACCACAAATCCTTTACTGCTAAGACCAGAAGGGATGTTCTCTTGCCTGTCCCTGAGAGATTTCTCATGAAAAAATAGTCTAATATCTCATCAATGTGGATTCGGTTATCAGCAGGCAGGCTGATTTTGATTGTTTTGCAATTGGGTAAAATACTGCATATGTAATTACTCCTCCTTGTTTTGTAAAACCAGCCCGTCCACAAACAAACACACTTAAAAAAAAAAAATAATTGTACCAGCAGTTGTTTGGTACGTTCAGAACTGATTTGCAGATCAATCAAAATTGGGTAGTTTTGTGAATGAATAAGATGATGAACTTCATCTGGCTGTAAGCTTTCTGTATTTGTGACAAATAGAACACTGGACCACATTCTGTGGCCCTTTGTTTCCCAAGAGAGGAGAATAGATGGGCTTGTCAAACAGGACATAACTGTCAGTAGTGCTTATCCAGTCCATCAGTGTTGTCTGACAAAAGGATGATACGGTTGTCATCATGGTCTGTAGTGGGGTTGAAAAGAGCTGAGCCATCTTTTATTGCTCTAGAGCAGAACATGAGAAGAAATCTGAGTTAGTCACACTGCTCCTATATTACACATGCTCAGTCATCAGATACTTTGAATTCATAGAATATTACTGAAAATCAAAACAGAAAAATAGACACTGTTCTTGCCTTCCATGAAGCTGTGTAAGCACTAGTGCTCTGTAGTCCTCATGCTGAAGAAGAAAATAAAGTCTTCTCTCCAAAACCAGTCCTAGATTAGAGGATGGGAATACTGACCTATTGAAAGGATAACCTTTCAGGGAAACGTTATGACCACAAATAGCTTGAACAGCTAAACTAGATTAACTTGCAGTGATTCACAAAGAAAACAGCTGCAAGAGATTTCAAAACCATTTGAGCAGTATCTGTTTCTTTCTGTGCTGATGCTGTTCTCCTGAAGTATTTTATTGTTCTTTGCTAATAAATGACACTTGAGAATAAAAAGAGGTTTTATGGTAGCTGAAGTGTTGAAATCAAAACTTTCCAAGGATTGTGTGTTAGCTTTTCCAATTCTTTCTTTAAAAATAATTAAGAGTACACAAATATCGACAATTAGTGATAATTCTCTTACTATGTGGTTTACATATGACTCCATTACTTTGACTAGTGCTACACTGTCTAGAGGAATTAATATCCCTCTTGTTCCCACGTTAGTATCTTTCTAGATGTTGTACAGCTTGTTTCAAAGTTCTTGGGAGTCTCCCAGTTTCTTTATATGCAGTTAAAAACTTCTGCAATGTTGTGACTAGAGAGTATTGATTTTCCTCATCTGCTGAAGAATTCTCTGGGGATGGTTTATTTCCGTAACATTTGGTTTCTGTTTGTGCGAATATGGTATGTATCCCCACAATTTTCTTGCTCCGTGTGGTAGTTTCTGTCATCAAAATAATGCAGTAATATAGTAATGCAGGCAAAAATTGTTAGAACTGTGTTGATTTTTGAGTTAGATTAGAAACTGTTAACTTCTATGGAATATTCTAATTCATTTTCAGTTTGTAAATCACACTTCAAAAAAACCCCCTCAATTACTCTAACCTCCTGTGGGGATTTTTTGTTCTGTTTTTCCTTGAGGAACTGTAAATTCATTTCCAGCTGGGGCCTGTTGAGACACTGTAATCACAGGAAGAGACTAAATCAAATGAAAATATTTAAGTGATTAGGAGCTCTTATGTCAGAAAATGTACATTGCAAAAGCATATTAGATGTAGACAATGCTCGTTGCGTTATGTATTCTTCTGTTCTGATCACTGTCATGTTAATTGTAAGATCTAAAATTAGATGTAACATGTTTCTGTTGGTGATTTTCCATGTATATCCTGGTACCTATATGCACATGTTGTGGATGTAATATTATACATTTAAAAATAGTTTATTTCTTGGACTGTCTTGAGGCTTCCTAAATGTCCATTAGACTGTGAAATAGCATTTCTAGAGCTTAAAAAGTCTTTTTGAATTGCTCATCTACAGTTTTCTATTTTAACTTTCTTATGGTGCATAGTTCTGTATTTTTGCTCGTAGCTTGTACATCTCATATAGACTGTTCTCCTTTCCCTCTTTCTCTTTTAACCCAGTTTTGTAGAGCAGTTCTTTTAAATATAGAAAATGTTTTCCTACTCTAAGTACAGCAGCCTCCCTGACATCCATCTCTCACACACGTATCCTGTTTGTGGGACTTGCTCAACAGCGTGCCCTGTACCAGAAATGGGATGGGGAAGAAAATTCCTTACAGTTGGTGGAGTGCAGCTGCTCATCCCATGAGATATCTCGGTCCATGTTCTCTAGAGTAATTTACTGATGGATCATTCTCAGCAAGGGTCTTCTTCACTGATGGGGAGACTTGATGGAATTAAAAAAAATTAATTGGTCCTAAAGCAGCGAAATGCCTTTGTCACCAACAGAATACTTCTATTTCTGGTTCAATTCCTTGAGTAGGTCTTGATGTGTAACCCCAGAAAGTTGGGAACACATCAGTTATTTATAGCTAAGTTCAACAAGAAACTACTTCTGTAAAAATTACTGGCTGATGGTTCACTGTTGTGGTGTTGTAGGATCTTCTAGAATTGCATTTCTTAACAACAAGCTAACTTAGTAAGGAATACAGCTTTTTTTACTGCTGATGTTTTGTGTAGGTTTCTGTACATAAGTGCTCTAATTATTAATGTGCTTCCAGTGATGTATCTAGCTGCATTTTGTGGTATGGAAGCGTATTTTTAGGGTGTCTGTTTATAGGCTTTCCTTTGTCTTAAGAAATGAGCTGATTATTGATCCAGCTTCCAAAATGAGATACAGCCCAGAGTGTTCAGTTGCTTCCAAATCAAAATCAATGAGTTGTTACATGGACAAGTCCTTAAATCAAGTGTTGCAGCATTACTGCTATATCATACAGATTTTTTTCTTTTTCCTAAGGTGGTGTTACTGTATTTGTGGCCTTATATGATTATGAAGCTAGAACTACAGATGACCTTTCATTTAAGAAAGGTGAACGGTTCCAAATAATAAATAACACGTAAGTGTTCTCATTCACAGATTTCACTTGATTGTTGTTGCAAATAAACAGATCCTCAACTCTTCTTGAAATCTGTGTATCCTATTTCAGTGAAGAGTAGATTGGGTTTTTTGTTGTTTGTTTCCCCCCCCCCCCCCGCCTTTGAATGTATGCAATCTTCAATAAGCGTGGGGTTAAAATATTGATACTGGTAAGACAACAACATTCAGGCTGATGTCAGGTTTGGGTGCAGATGTAGAACTGTAGTGACTGGGACAGCCCCAAGCCTTCTCCTCCTCAGTTGGTTGGAAAGCATCCTTCCACTCCCTGCTGCAGCAAAGCACATGTACCCCTCTGGGGATGCAGAGGTGGAGATGAGGGCTGTCTGACCCCATCTCAGGCTCTGCACCTTGCAGGTTCTCTCCGACAGGTTTCAGATGAGGAGGTGGGAGCAGCCAGCACACTTCACCTCGAATACCATAAGCAATTGTCGTGTCTGTAGGCAGGGACTTCTGGCCGTAGAAGTGCATCTAGCTGCCCTCCACAGTAAATCCACACTCAGATAGTTGAGAAGTAGTTTGATGTTCTAGTTCATTGCAGCAGCATTTCAGTATTACAGCCTGATTTCTAGAAGTCTAGTGAAAAGAAAATAGTTTGTTCACCTTGGAGATTTATTTACATGCGGCTTTTGTCTGCAGTAATAGTTCTAATTCACACCTATAGCAGTTTTCATTCATACAGTTCCCTAACTTTATTAGCTGTCTTCCTGCTTCCTTTGTTGCTCACTGTCAGTGTACAGGCAGAATGATGTGGGAAAGGCAGAGGAAGGCTAGAGAACTGGGAAGTTTGTTTACACATCTCTGCCATAAGACATTTTGTTGCAGGTTTGCATTTTGCATATATAAATTACTTTTACATTCAAAAACCCCCAAAAAACAAACAAACAAAAAACCCCAAAAAAACATACCAAAAAATCCTTCAAAATACGAAATTCCAGCAAGAGGCACTCGTGTTGCTTACAATGAAAAGAAAAATATATTTAGGTGCAGTGCAAACTATTTTTGATGCCTTCATAATTAAAATAGTATGTTACCTAAATTTAACCTACCTTTCATATGTGAGGGTGCTATAGCTGCTAGAGAACAATGTATTGTTTATATGTGGAAGATGTAACTGATGTTGCATTGCAGGGAAGGAGACTGGTGGGAAGCAAGATCCATTGCTACAGGAAAAACAGGCTACATCCCAAGTAATTATGTAGCTCCTGCAGACTCCATTCAAGCAGAAGAGTAAGACATTGTATCCTGTCAATCTGTTCTTATTATCCGTCCTACACTTTGTACCCTGTGGTGATGCTGTTCCTTTAAGTCAGTACATGTAACATTTAAGGGTAAAGTAGGATAATACTACTAGTTAAAGGATAGCAATGCTACTTGGATGATATCAAAGGTATAATTATTAGCAAGTGTGATGTGGACACTCATGCAAATGTGTTATGTGTGCTTGCTATATGTAGCGCTAAAGGAAAAAGGATGGGAGAATGCAATAATGAAGATAAGAGCTGGGAGACATGCATTGTGTTTCATCTAAAGAAAAAATGGATGGTTTTTAGTTGAAGAGTTCACACGCCGTCAGCTCTAGGTTTTTATTCTAATTTTTGTTTGCCAAACCCTGATTCAAGATCAGCTGTGAACTTGGTAGCACCTAATCTTACGTTCGAAAAAAAACGCATGTGTGGACAGTTATTGCTAATCTATTAATCTATAACAACTTTTTGGTGACAGAATTGTTAGGCACACTAAGGACTACTGTGAATTGGGAAAATTGTATTGCTTTGGGTACCAGTACTTCCTGCATTTATTTACAAAGATCCCAGAGCGCTTACAGAATCGCATAAAGTTACTCAGGGAACTGTGAGTTGGGGTACAGTTTCAGGTTATACTTGTTCCAAGGGATTAATTGTATTTGTTGTAGTAGAAATACAGAGCTCCGCTGCTCTTGCTTCAACATACAGGCATGGTACTGCCAATAAGCAGTTCCCTGATACATGATCTGTGCTCTTCTGTTTTTGCCACTGCACTTCTGGGAAGAGTGCCCAATTTCCAACATGTTTCCTTAATCTCAAACTGAGATTTTAGCATGTTGCTGCTGCTCTCACCTGGCTCTTTGCTATTAAAAAGTGATTGCATCAAAGACCCGCTGTTATTTTATGCCCTTGAGTTTCAGCAGCTTCTTCTTTTATTGATTTAAAAAAAAAAAACAAAAACAAAAACGTTGAGGGGTTGGGTTTTTTTTTTTAAATTATGCAATAAAAGCATGTCGTCATTACAGCTGCGGTGGTGGTTAAATGGAAACAATGGCCCTTTGGAAACCAAGAATGAGGTTTCTGCAAAGAAAGTATTACTCCTAAAGACTGGCAAAATGGGGTGGTGGCATTTGTCATAGGTTTATGTGATGACTGGAGGTGACAATGAGGGGTGATGAGTGAAGAAGCTTTTTCAAATTGACTATTTTAAAGAACCACTGCTAATTTTATTAAATACCACCACAGCATTTGGAGTGGAGTTCATTTGTTAGCCCTGGGCTTTGATAGCGTTTATAGGTTTTGTGTTGTGACTACGGTTGGAATTACAAGTGCAAAAGCAATACACGGCCCCAGATTGCTAGGATTTTTTAAAGTGCTCTAAGCCTGAAGGCATTTATAGCAAAAAGTGCTTGTGACAGGATCTGACAGGATCCATATTATCTGTGTGGCTTTTGAATGATGTCATAATATAAATGTTTAAAGCTCATTTAAAAACTCGGGTAAACCCTACTATTATTTTATAGGTGATTAAATAAAATAACACTTTATGATATAGTTTGTAAATTGTGATAGTAGTCTGGGAAGGAGGCATTTTCATGTGAAGTAATTACTAGGGTTCAAATTTGCGTCAATAACGTAGGTTGCATCCAAATTGTCTCAAATATATATATGCTCATATCCACTTCTAACTTAAACAGTCAAAGGCAAACACAATAAAAGTCAGAATAAATTTCAAATTCCCAAGTGATTGCACAAGCCCTTCTGTTCACAGGCTGACAAAATGAGCCCTCCTTACCTACAGTTTTCCCCCACAAAGTGTTCCACCTGCGAAACCATTGTTTTGCAGCAGTTTCCATTGCTGCTTTTCTTCTTCCAGCACTCATTAAGCCAGATTTGCTTGATGCTATGACGGTCCCAAATGAAAATGTTTGAAATCATCTGTGCATCACTTTGACTCCTGAGGCACAGAATCAAAGTCAGGTATCATTAGAATTAACTGTTATTCCAAACACTGGGGATTCTCTGGGAAGGGGACCTTAAAATTATCACTGGCTCAGGACAGAGCTATGTGCGGGCTGTCCGTCAGGATGAGCACACTTTGGGAGTATAAAAGAAGAAATCCGGTTTGTGAAAGAACTTAAGGAAAGAAAAAATGCAAATGTTTTAGAACATCTGTGTACTTTGAGTATCAGAAGGATGCAACAGAGATGAAGTGTTACTCAGAGATAAATGATACCTACCACAGGGTTGTTTCTAAATCATTGGCTTTTTTTTTTTTTTTCAAGTGCTCCCACCACTGAGGTACAGAAGGGCAGGAGGCAATAGAAGTTGAAACAGGAGAGGTTCCAGCTGGGTATAAGAAGAAATCTTTTTATCCTGAGGACTGCCAGGCAGGGGCACAGGTTCCCAGGTTGGCTGTACAGGGTCCATCTTTCCAGGTTTTCAACGCCCTGAACAGCCAGGTCTGATCTCACAGCTGACCCTGCTTGCAGGAGGAGGCTGGACTAGAGACTTCCCAAGGGCCCCTTCCACCCTGACTGAACCTGTGATCTATTGATATTTATACACACCCACTTTGCATTAAATGTTGTTTTTTAACATATGGCCGAAATTTCATACAGAACGTCGTAATTTCATACAGAACGTCGTTACGGCTGCTGCAGTGTTTTGAGTGTGTTACCAAAGTGTGTCATCTGATTCAGCATGACCTGTGACCTTCTTAACCAGAAGGAAGGTGTTACTGTTGATGTCCATTGTTAAACCATCAGAAAAACACAATATTTGCAGATAGAGGCGTCTTTACGTGTATTTTGCAACCCATTGAAATGAGAGTCTTACAGAAATAGGTCATCTTAATCTTTTGATTATATGGATGTCGTTACTTTTGTTGATCTGTAACTGCTTTGGGATATTAGTAGTCGGGTCAATGCTTGAGATTTCTGAATCTCTTATTTACATGATTACCAAAGCATGGGAAGCTTTTCCTTACATATGTTTCCTTTAACATTTTCTAGGTGGTATTTTGGTAAGATGGGCAGGAAGGATGCAGAAAGGCTACTTTTAAATCCTGGGAACCAGCGTGGTATTTTCTTAGTAAGAGAGAGTGAAACCACTAAAGGTATGTATATTTATGTCTCTCTTCTCCCCCCGCCCCTCCCCCAAGGTGGACATAATGACCGTTTCTATGTCTGTCACATTACACGTATGCATGTGCACACGTGTGTGTATAATGACAGTTGGGGAGATATGTTGAATATGTTTTTAAATTTTTGGTGAAGAACCAAGTCTGACTTGTTTCCTAGGTGCTTACTCCCTTTCCATACGTGACTGGGATGAGGTCAGAGGTGATAATGTGAAACACTACAAAATCAGAAAACTTGACAATGGTGGATACTATATCACAACCAGAGCACAATTTGAATCTCTACAGAAGTTGGTGAAACACTACAGAGGTAAGCCCAAGTTCTAGTGTTCCAATGCTACCATGTGCCTATCATGAGGAAGAAAAACTCCATTTCTAGCTTATTTTTTAAACTCACAATTATAAAATTTCTCTTTTATTTTGACAAACAGTAAATGGACTAGTTTTTTTTATCAACATTAGGATGTTACTTTTAATGTAGTCTTGCCCCAGTGACAAGTTTAACGACAAAGCTTATTTTTCCATTTTCCAGAACATGCCGATGGGCTGTGTCATAAGCTAACAACTGTGTGTCCCACTGTGAAACCACAAACACAGGGACTAGCAAAAGATGCTTGGGAAATTCCTAGAGAGTCTTTGAGGCTGGAAGTTAAGTTGGGCCAAGGATGTTTTGGTGAAGTGTGGATGGGTAAGAGCTTAATGTGACACCTTCCGGTTGTTCATGTGAATGTTTTAATAGTATTTTAAGTAAATCTGTATTGGGATGTGGAAAGATAATGTGATAAAGAATTGAAGATTAAAAGTACCAATTATGATCAGTCACATAAAGGTAAAAATAATATTGAATGTAGTTCTATTTTATAATTATACCTTTAGCTAATGGAACAGCAGCAAAAAGTTTCTGCAGAAAATATCTTCAGTATTATAGGAGAGAATAAAATCTAATTTGTTTCTCTAGGAACATGGAATGGAACCACAAAAGTAGCGATCAAGACACTAAAACCTGGTACAATGATGCCAGAAGCTTTCCTGCAGGAGGCTCAGATTATGAAGAAATTACGACATGACAAACTTGTTCCACTGTATGCTGTTGTTTCTGAGGAACCAATCTACATTGTCACTGAATTCATGACAAAAGGTGTGCGACAGAATAGTTTGAAGATACTGCATTTAAAAGATTATTTAAGATCCCAGCAACAAATTAAGTATTTAATTAATGTTAGATTTAAACTGATTGGAGGACAAGTGGTAATTTTGATTAAATTAAAAGGAGCAATGCTTGACCTACTTGAAGTAGTTCTCATTTAGATTGTGGGTGGAGGCATGATTTTTTTTGCACGTCTGTGTCACCCTTGCTAATCCTTCAAGTACAAGATTGAGGTTTTTTCTCCTTAATTTTTAGTTTGTACTGCCTGTTACTTTTAAATTGGATGGTATAGCTGGGACTATCATTATGATGCCTGCCTGTAGACAAATCATGCTCACAGCAACAGAATCAGTTAGGTTTTGGGGTTTTTTTTTTCAGTTTTTCTTTTGCAGCAGTGTAATAGTAAATTCTAAAAAGGTTTAGGGGTTTTTTTCCAGACTCCCTCCTTTATCTTCTTGTTTTTCAGACTTTCATACTTCTTCCTTTGCTTTAGATCATTTCCCCCTCCCCCTGCTGCTGAAACAGATTTAAAGATTTAGGCTGAATGTAGAAATAAACATCATAAGCATATTAGCGCTAAGTAGCAATAGATTTTCAAGACAATTATTCTAATTTCATAAAATGCAGACTTCTGTTCACCTCACTGAGAAATTTTGCTATCCTGGTAAGAAATAGAAACAATGTTAAAGTCCAAGAGATTGGCTGCTTGTGTCCAGTACTCTGACACAGATATGTGGGGTTTGTTTTTCCTGTTTGGATGGGGGTTTTAAGCATTAAGCATCGTATTAGTTTTAAAGGTGGAAAGGAATAGAACCTATAAAAAGTTCCTTCTGTGGTGGTGGTGTTGTTCCTAAATAACACTAGACAGTTTCTCTGTCAGATCTTAAAGCTGCCATGCAAAATCACAGAATCACAGAATGTTAGAGATTGGAAGGGACCTCGAAAGATCATCTAGTCCAATCCCCCTGCCGGAGCAGGACACCTAGATCACACATGAACGCATCCAGGCAGGCTTTGAATGTCTCCAGAGAAGGAGACTCCACACCCTCTCTGGGCAGCCTGTTCCAGTGCTCTGTCACCCTCACTGTAAAGAAGTTTTTTCTCATATTCAAGTGGAACCTCCTATGTTCCAGCTTGAACCCATTGCCCCTTGTCCTATCACTAGATGTCACAGAGAAGAGCCTGGCTCCATCCTCCTGACACTCACCCTTTACGTATTTATAAACATTGATTAGGTCACCCCTCAAAATCAGTTTTCATTGTTCAGAAATCATGTTTTTGCAAGGCATTCAGAAAAAAAACAAAAGTGCTTTACAGCATTCTGCCTAAGAAAAAGTAAAGATTAAAGCTGGAACTGGGATGTTACCTTGCAACAGCAGAAGTAAAGAATTGGAAAAGTACTTGCATGTTTGTCTAAGTTTTGCATTCAGAATGCCATTGGAAGCCTCTTTTTTTCATTTGAAAAATTTCTCACATTTTACCAAAAATCACAAAGCCTCTTTGGTGGTTCATACTTGAAGGTTACAACTTTTTATTTCCTTTTTTTTTTTGTCTTTTTACAAGGAAAAGAGGCATCTTAAGAACTACACAGTACCCAATTTTTTTTTCCATGTGGACAGGTTACTAGAGGTCGGCATGAAATCTTTGCTCCTCTTTGTTCCTTTGAGCTTATGAACTAAGATGAGAAAAAGTCTGTGCAAACACACACAACAAACAGCAGCAGCAGTGTACCACACTTTTTCTTTCAATGCAGCAAGTGACTAAAATCACAGTGGAGGTATCTAATTCACAGCTACAGCCATGAATCCACCGCAAGATCTGCAGTTCAGTGGTTCTTTTCCCCACCATCACTACTCTTGTAATTTTGTCCTTGTAATTTTGACTGTGATGAGACTGTGATGAGGCTGAGTTACCAGTCTTCCAGTTTCTTAAGAACAAGATAGTGTTCCTGTACCCTTATGGCATGATGACACCTGTAGGGATAGCTGTTATGTCAGAGACAAAGTTTTACCACACATTAAAAGATTCCTGTCTTAAAAGGAGCGCAGGTCCTTGGAACTGATTGCAAAAACTACTCATGTTGTAGTGTCTGGACACAACAGTATTATTTAAACAGGAGAAGATAATATATCGTAAAGAATTGAACATACTTTTGTCTTCCTCTGTAAGGAAGAAAAAGCAACAAAATAAAAGCGACAATTTCAGAATAATTTCTGTAGTATATAATTGGAGATGGCAGAAAAAATTAAGTAATGGATAGAAGGTTTTTTGTTCTTTAATTAAATCTCACTGTGGAAAAAGGTCCAACTAGGAAGGGCACTGATACCAGGAATACTGGGGAAAAGCCTTATGTATTGCCATATAACCATCAAGTGGCAGTCTCTTTTATTGTGTTTGGTTATCTGAGCTATTTAAATGGATTCCAAAATACTTGGATAAAACTTGTACTAACTAGTTATCAGGGCAGAGTCAACTACAGGCGTAGTCATTGAGTCCTATATTCTGTTAAATGATGGGTTTTCAAACACAGATTTTGGGAGATGAATGTGTAAATCATGATGTCTAGGAAGAAAATCTCATTCTTTTTTTCAGGTCAAATTAATGTTTTGGTTTTTTCCTTTTTTTCCCCAAAATGTGTAATTTTTTTACAGGCAGCTTGCTAGACTTCCTTAAAGAAGGCGAAGGAAAATACTTAAAACTCCCACAGCTGGTTGACATGGCTGCTCAGGTACATTGTATAAACCAAACAAAACTGTATTTTGTGCTTAGAGAAGAGATCTAAAACTATATAAGATGTCAAATAAACATAAATATTGACCACTCAGGCCATTGTAGGCTGTTCTGTCCTACATCTTCTGTTGTAGGTTTGTAATTTGTCAAAAAGAAACAGCCTTGTTCCCAATCAGCAGATACTGTATAGCCAGACACACTCTAATCAGTGCTGTCACAAGCTCTTGCTATGCTGTACTTCCTGTACTTACACAATGGGCTAACATAAAGGGGTACAGCTAATGCTTGGGAGAAATGTATACAGTCATGAAAAAATAATCTTTAATAAAACTTTATTTTTAAGATTGCTGATGGCATGGCTTACATTGAAAGAATGAACTACATCCACAGGGATCTCCGGGCAGCTAACATTCTTGTAGGAGACAATCTTGTGTGTAAAATAGCAGACTTTGGTTTAGCAAGGTTAATAGAGGACAATGAGTACACTGCAAGACAAGGTAAGACTGATTTATTTACTGAATAAATAAGATCAATTACCTTCAAATTACTTAGAACTATTACATTTAGCAGAATGTGTCTGTGTATTCTATCTGCATGAATAAAAATTATGCATATAAGTGTGCTTTCACAGCTATGTTTAGGTGTCATGTTCACCCAAGTGCAATTTTAGTGAACTTTTTAGTGTTCAAATTTATCTGGCAGTTTGCTTATCTTTTCCAAAAACATTTTTAGTTCTTCTTTTCTTGGGTAAATTTGCTACAGTTTGAAGAGAACTGAGATTCCAGAGGTTGCTCATCAGATTGTGAAGATCATCCCACTTTTTGAAACATATTTAATTAAGAATCCCAGATGTCTTAGGTCCTTCCAAAAATTGTAGGCAGTAGTTGCTGCCCTAGTTTGAAACTGGTTTCCAGTTTGGAATATTAAAATACTAAACCGCCTTGAACTTGTCAACAAAGCAAAATGTAAAAATTTGAGTGCTATATTCTTTTTTAAATATTTTGAAATGTAAGCAAATGATGCATAAGCAAGGTAAATTTGAGTATCTGTCTTCCCAATGTTTGTAGGAGCTAAATTTCCAATTAAATGGACCGCTCCAGAAGCAGCATTGTATGGTCGGTTTACAATCAAGTCAGATGTGTGGTCATTCGGAATTTTACTGACTGAGCTGGTAACAAAGGGGAGAGTGCCATATCCAGGTAAGAGAAAAAAAATAGATTATTTTTTCTTTGTTGTATTCTGCGCTTCTGAAGTTACCTTTTGTACTTTTTGCCTTCATTCAGAGCCCACAGCTGACAAGCAGAGACAAAAACTTAGTCATGCTTCAGTGGTTCCTTTGTTCACAAAGTTACTTTGTTTTATTTACAGATTAACTCTCTCATGTATTTTTAAAGTGTTTTAAGATAGTAGCATTTGTAAATGTGACTGATAGTTCATTTCAGATTAGTGGGTATCCTGATGTTTTCCTATCTCTCTGTTCCTGAAATTTCTACTTTTGACATTTTCCCAGGCTACAGTAAGCCTCAGTATAGTGGACCTGCTAGACCCAGTTTTTGAAACTAAACATATGTAACATATTCGGTCAGATATTTTGCTGTTTCTGGAATTTGCAAGGCAGTTCTGTTAGCTATAAAATGCCTTTTCCTTGGCTTGATTTCAAATTAAGTGGTCCTTGAATGGGACCTAAGGCAGGCAGAAGGTGTTTGTGCTTGACACTCCTTTTTGAAAGGATGAGCCCAAGGCAGTGGGCAAGTATACAAATGAGAAAGCATACAAATGGCAGAAGGACCAGGTACTGAGGAATTACCAGTGTGATTAAATAATTGTCAGAAAACATATTTAATGCAAAATGTAACAAATTCATTCATCATAAAGTGAGTTCATTAAAGGTTCTGTTATGGTGGATTCATGTGCATTGCAGCTGGAGAGACACTTGAAAAACTTTGGGAAACTGTTCTTTGCATAATGCCATTTAGAGCTAAAATGCTTTCCTTTTAGGGATGGTGAATCGGGAAGTTCTGGAACAAGTGGAACGTGGATATAGAATGCCTTGCCCACAAGGCTGTCCAGAGTCTCTCCATGAGTTAATGAAACTGTGTTGGAAGAAGGACCCTGATGAGAGACCAACATTTGAATATATACAGTCTTTCTTGGAGGACTACTTTACTGCTACAGAACCACAGTACCAGCCTGGAGACAATTTATAAGCCAACAGTCTATATAACATGCACAAATCTGCCAAATGTAAAAGACTTGCAAAGAATTCCTGACTTCTATAAGGAATCAAAGGAAAGAAAATCTTCGCTACTTTGCATGCTCTTAATGGCAAACTGGAATTTCATAATGCAGTTGCACAAAACCACTTTTAAAGTGTTATAATCTAATTTACCAATGACATGTTTTTATTTTTTTTTCTTCTTTCACAACTTATTTTCAGGGTCCAAAGGAGGTCCAAAGGAAGCTTACTGAAAATACAGGGTAGAAAAATGAGTGTTGGTGTGAACAGTAGCAGAAGACCCAATATTTCAAATCTTTTATTTTCCCAACATTTGATAATCATTCTACTACAGAGGGAATTGTCTGGAATTAGTGATCTTGGGGTAGGACATTTTTAAAGCAGAAGAACTTTGTGGGACCAAGCAATTCTATTCCAGTTCTGTAAAACTCCCTGTGTTCAAAATTACATGTGTGTGGCCTCCACCCCACCCCCAAAAAAGATGGTACAACTGTGTTTGGTATATAGTCTTGATCTATAAGCTTCCTCTTGCATGGACTTAATTAGGGTAGGCAGGTTAAAAGAAAAATTGGAACAGTGAATGACAAACTTGATCTACATGGTAGACCTCAATAGGGAAATTAGAAAGCATAATGCACTGTGTTAATACTTGTATAACTGGAAAGTAGCAGGAGAGATTTTTCTTTTTTTCTTTCTGCATAGCTAATTAAGAATAATGAAGGTAACTAGAAAATGAGGTAATATTTTATAAAATTGTATTGATAACATATGATGATTTGAACTTGAAGCTATGTAAAATACAATCAGAGGGGGAAAGCCTTTAATCTTTTAAGCTCCGATCCAACAGCGATCTTTTGTATGGGAAGACTACCTGAACAAATCTCGCTAGGGAAGCAATGCTGAAACTGGTAAATGGCCACTTTTTAGTCCTTTTTCAGAGACAGGTTTGGTACTGTTGTGTGTGGCTTATGTGTGTTAACAAGGGTGGGTGCCACAAATGCTAACTGTCACTAGTTCAGGGATTTGATTGCACTTTTGCTTTTCTTAACTCTTAAGACACACTTACATGCAGTTGCTCTTCCCACTTCTGCCCTTCCTACAGAATTATTTAACTAAACAAAATAAAATGTGAAAGTTTAAAAACTAAAGGGATAAAATATATTTAATATTGTCCAAGTATAGTGACATTGAAATTTGCTGGCATTCAGCCCAGCTGACACTACATCTAGATTTATTTTTTTGGCTACTGACATATCAAGCAATAACATCATGTCTTTTACTCAACAATTTGCATGAGGTTCTTGAATTTCTGATCAAGCTTATGTACTTTAATTTTGAAACACTAAACTCTTATTTAGCTACCAGGTTGGAATTCATATTATCATTGTAAAGCTATCCAACAGATGAATTTCAGAAAAGCTGATAATATAGTTCTGGTACTCAACATTCTGCATGGGTTTACACTACATTGAATCCAACTACCAAACAGATCTTTGTAAGGACAGTGCCATCGTTTTTCATTTTCCCTTGTCATCGCTCATCACCTGTACTTCTGTGGTTATCAAATTTTAAAAGGGCTTTATGTAAGAAAAACAAAATAAACACACACAAAAAAAATCAAAAAACCCAAAAAATACAGCGAATTTTAATTTTTCTAAATATTTTAAAATTAATAACACAATCATATGAGTTTATGTATTAATACAGTTATTAAAAATGCCAAAAATTATACTGGCGTTGTTTGGATTTTTAATTACTGAATGGAACAGTTCATTGTAATAACACTTGTATAGTAAAGGAATAAAACACTAACTTAATGAACATGTTCATTGTAAATGGTTGTGTATTATAAGACTTCTCCAAAAGAGTTTGTATGTTTATGAAAATTTATTTGTTTCACCTGAAGACCTTGATGTGGTTCTTACCCTAACAGAGTTTAAAATTCACATTCACACTTTTTATATAAATAGTAATAAGTTTAATTATGTAACTAAGTATTTTTATAAAGTATGGCATTGTTTGAACTGTTTTGCAGAATTGGTTCAAAATAAATTTCTCCTTGATTGCATCTGCTTATTTGAGGGGGGGGTGGGGTGGGAGGGGGACAAAAGCAGAGTAGCCTTTATATTGAGTGGAAAAGGAGGGGAATAAAACCTTCATGGGTTTGGGGTGTATTTTTATCCTCTGTAAACTATTTTAATGTACTTTCATACAAGATGCTGAGTGCATTATTGATGTGAAAAGGGAGACATTTTCTACAGCAGTTCAGAAGTCTTTGGCAGGAATGGGCTAGAACAATTCTGCTGGACTTAAAACTAACCCCCATGACAGGCAGACTTGGGATTCTTGTGAGAGCAAGTCCAGCATCGACTCTCAGCTGGTGGTCACTGCCACGCTGTAGGGCAAACGCATTTCCTCTCTCTTGCTTTGTCTGGTATTAGCAGCCACTGTTGACTTCTGTGCAATTTTTTCAGGGAGTTTTATACATTTGTTCTTGTGATAGCTGATGTTTTATCTCAACTTCATTGAATGTTACCTGTCTCAACAACCAGTGTAACTCAAACCGCAACTCCTGATGTGTATATTCAGTGCCACTGTAGATCAAGGAGCTAGTACTGTTTGAGTAACTAATACAGCACTAAAACCATTCTTCTTGCAGAACCTGCAAACTGCAAAGTTTACTGTATTTTTAGTATTTCCTGTAATGTAATTAATGTTCCGCTATTTTTAATTACAACAATCGTGTAATTTCTGGTAATCTGTACTCTCCCCATTGTCCATCGGAAGCCTGTGATACCCGTTCTGCATGCTAGGCCTGCAGATTGTTTCTGTCATGCGTTGTTTCAAGCTGTAGTATTTTAAGGATATTTTCATACTATCTTTGAGTGAACTTCCAAACATAAAAATGTGTACAATCCTACTATTTAGATAAAATACATCTCTATTTTAGCATAAAGCATTATGAGAAGAACCTTATGTGTTCTTATCCTTGCAACCACTGAATTGTCATTTCACTAGGCTTGTGAGTACCTCTTACTACTGAAAAGGAGCCTTGGAAAGGTCTTTTAAAAAACAAACAAACAAAAGTCTCCTGGAATTTGCTGATGGGTAGAAACAGCCAGAATGCTCTCTTAGCCATAGTCATCTACTATTTATTCTAAAACACATCCACAGCTGCAAAGAGTATAAATGCATATAAACAACTAAACTTAATGATCCCCCACTTTTGTTATTTATTTTGATCTGTTCAATCCAATAAACTTCTTAGTTTTTAAATTTTCTGTGAAGATGCTGTAGATGTTTGTATTTTTGCCAACTTTACCCTAACACAGAAGACTTTGTTTAGAGCTACACGGTCATGTTGTGTTTAAACCCCAGGAGCACTCACGGTCGGCTTCACATTGCAAACAGGAGATCCAAGCTCTCACACCTTGCTAAGGAATTTAAGACCTAAATTTGAATAACTGATTTGGGCACTATAAACAGGTCTGGGTGGATAACTGCTGAAGTCCAGAATTGTGATTCATCTCATAGCTATTCTCTTGTGCAGTAGGTGTTTGGACTCTTACTGTGCACGTGCCTGGAAGCGCAAGTGCCTTCACAGCAGCACGTCTTGCACCTGCCTCAGCCTGACCCTGGCGCAGGACTCCCATCGGCCTGCCAGGCGCTGCAGGAGGCTGGCAGTCAGTCCAGGCCTGGGAACCCCCGTGATCTCCTGCAGACACCTTTTCAAGACAGGGTGGGAGGAGATGGTAGATGGGAATGGGGTGGCTGTATCTATTTTTGATATAATGGCTTAGAGTGGAAAATCTGGGCTCTGATCAAGAATCCTGGATTGCTGCTGGATCCTATACAGGTGGTTGTTAGGTGTGAGAAGCTGTTAAGAGGTTGCCTAGTTGAGAGCAGAACCCACTGCAGGACTTCACCCACAGACACAGGTTTAAGCATTTGCTCAAGGACCAGGTTCCTTTTTCTCTCTGCACTCTTCACTACTGACACTTAGAGGGAGAGTGTTAGCTGGAGGAACATCAACAGCTTCCCTGCTTCTCCCTTAGCAGAAGGAGGGGAAAGGAAGAGAGCGAGATGGAAGGATGGAGGTGAGCAGCTGAGGTACGAAGTTCTGCACTCCTTCACAGGGCAGAGGGAAGCAGGTTTGAGGGGTGTGGCATAGCAGGTGTCATCTGTTCTCTCTGTCCTGTTTTGAAAAGGAGGTAGAAACATAGGGGAACCGAGGAGCATCTGTTCCCTTGTGTGCACTGGAAATAGAGCAAGGCTAACACCGAGTGCTGCTTCTGTTCTCTGTGGTGGTTCTGGTCAGCTCACCCTGACTGGTTCCTAGCAGAGTCCCTTTGTATTAGCTGGGGAGTCCCAGTACAAAAAGAGAGCATTGTTCTGCTGTCATTTGTAAGAGTGAACCTTGATCAGTTCTTAGGAAGAAAAAAAAATATACAGAAAGCCTAACCAGATTGATACTAGCCCCTGGATCCCAAATTCACAGGGGTGCTTGCCTCTGGAGCTCATTCCAGAGTGATGGCATTTCAGACAGTCTAACAAGTAATTTACCATTTCTTTCCTAATGGATATACGTGGATGTAGGATTTTGTGTTAGGTTTCCCTCCTTTCCATGTGGGTACAGCATGCCTACGAACTTAAGAGTTCAGGCATTACTGTTGTTTACTGGTCCTACTCTTGGAGCTTGTTTTCCTTGTCAGTTCTGCATGCAAACATGTGCTTCTTGCAGGTAGCACATTGGTTATTTATTTTTAATAATCTCTTTTAATTTAAAGGCATATTTTTTGTCAAATTGTAATAGCCACTGTTGTTGGGGGATCAAAGTATTCATATCACTGTGTACATTTACAGGATATTGTCCATCTCTTAGTATTTCATTTACTTTGAGTAAAAACGTGTTGGCCACTGTGTTGCTTTTAATTTGTTCTTAAAACAGTAGACAGTAGTTACCTAGTTAAACTCAGCAGGGTCTGAGGAACAGACTGGAAATCTAAAAGGGAAACCCAAATACAAGCACTGTTTATGAATCAGTCATGTACCAACACTGAAGCTGAC